GACTAAGTATGCCATTCAAGTTGCAGACAGCTTCAACCAATACTTGTTGATAAATCATTACATTAAGTGTCTATTGCAAGTTTCTATAAAAAGAATGAAGATCTGGCCTAAGAAAATCAAAAACAAACGAGGCTTTATTCATCTATTCTTGTATTTTTAGGTGGCTATTTTCACGTCCGTCGAAAAAAACGAATCTTACGAATGTGATTCGAGACCCTGTCGCACTGCTGATGCACGTTCTCGTCATTGCTGTGTGCACATTCATGCAGTGAATGCCTCCACCAAGGAACATTCGAAGCTCACTCTACCATCTCCTCTAAAAGTGGTAAAACGTTCACCCCATGCTTCTGCCAGCATAAGAATTGCCATGTGTCAGGAGATTCCTGAGGACATTACTTCAATTTTGAAGATAGTAACTAACTGCAACCTGAAAAGTGAAATGGCCAAGTCATTCCAAACCACCAATCTCACTGATGTGTGGCCAAGCCTTTTTACGCCTCCACCTTTTTGCCCAATGTGCAAAGATAGCACCTGTACCAACCCACAAATGCCGAATGGGACAAATGGCGAATACTTTTTAGTCACCACATCACTTGTTCTTAAAGTGGCCATTCAAGCGCGTGTATGTCATTCTTGCAGTGGAACTGTAGCAGTTGATGCAAATAAGATAGGTAATAATTTTAAATACCAGCCTCTTATTATATACAGGTTGTCATTTCAATATGTTTTACCCAATTCCACATAATCTTCCATAACATTTTTGCCTGCATGATATCTGAAATGTTCTTTAGCAACTCTACCAAAAGTTTAAAATGACTAGCTCAACTATACTCATTTTTATGCAAAAACGTTATTACTCTTGAAATTAATGGATGGAACATATCTATTTGACACACTGTAGATCACAGATAACTTATACACTAGCTAAATAGTTTATTGAGCCCAGCCATATGGAAACTGGTTTTATCCCGAAAATTAAAATTGTGCTACAGATCCGAAAATGTATGCCAAGTACACACAGGCGTACTGTTATTAGAGAAAAATTTTGATGACAAACATACAAATAGAAATCTGTTGGATCCTGGTATTTAAGTGTTTATATGTATGGTTATTTACTGTAGATATATACTAACGAAGACATAATTCAGGATTAAGGTTGATGTGTATTTTTATTCCAAACATAATTTCAAAGATGGCGGCACACATGAAACGCATGGCCAAACTCAAACACAATCACAATCAAGTATGATGTATCTAAAATATCTCCCTTTCCTAAAGAAAAGATTTGTTGCTACCAAATGTTTAACAAGATATTGCTGTATATAAACTTTATAATGAAAAATAGATGGCAGCGGTGCATTTTGTTAAAAGTTGTACAATATTAACATTTGTAATTATGATGTCTGTCTGTCTGTCCGTGCGATTACTCAAATACTGGTTGACGGATTTGATTCAATTCAATTTCAAAATGGCGGCCATTTTTCGTTAAAGAACATAATCTTTGATAACTCATATACCAGTGAACAGATTTGTTAATTTGGTTCAAATTTTATATGATGATGGCTAACGACACAGTAGCTCTGCTCAAGAGGGAATTTTCAACATGGCCACTTACAATCAAAATTTTGTTTGTACGGTGGGATTTGCTACTCCTACTCTGACGAGTTGCTGTTTTTCTAGTTCCACTTTAACTGGCTCATAAGTGATCAGTTTATGAAAACAGTACAAAGAATACAAATAGTCATGAATCAGCTGATTAAGGCAATAGCTGACAATTTCTGTAGAAACAGATGTGAAACATTTGATTTTAATGTACTTAGGTCTTGAATACTTTTACATTACTTGAAGCTTTACTTGTTTCAACCTCTTTATGTCAGTATATTTTCTGTTACAAATTTTATAAATGTCTCATATAATAAATATTTCATATTGTCTCAATTTAATTATTATGCTTCTAGGTCTCTTCAATTGCCAGAATAAGGTCCTTGTAGGGTATGATGTATTTTTCGAGATGAGACTTCATCGCCGAAATGGATTATCACCCGAGCAGTCGATACAGATCCTATTTGAGAAACTGTCGAAGACTTCTCGTGTATCTGATATTGATATTGAAAAAGAGGACGAAAAGATCAACTACCTATCAAGGGTGATTTATAATGGTTTCTATGCATTTGAAGCTCTCTCACCACGGAATCTAGATGAAAGTCTGTGCGGTATATGTGGCAACATTCCTGTAATGCTCATTGGGGATGCCAATCAAAAGGACTGCTGTAACCTTACAGAGCTAGAGGTAGCGTAATTTTAGTCTTTCATTAATTGATTTTACAGAACTGCAAACCCAAACAACCCATCATTATCTTTTATTGACTTCTTATCATGTCAGTCTCTCCAACATATGGGTCACTATTACAGTTATATATAAAATTATAAAAAAGAGTTACACCATGATCTTTATATAAACGTAATGATATATATGTACAATCGGCTTACAAAAATTGCTACATAAGATACAATATACACTCTATAGGCCTCTATAGACTCTAAAAGTTAAACTTAAGAAAATGTCTACTATAGGCCAATATACATGCTCTTGTTTTGTCACACTCTAAGATGAATTTGGCATGATCTTTAATTATTTTAATTTTGCTGTTGATGATTTCTTTCATTAGGTCGCTATAATACTGATCAGGGCTCGAAATTTGCATAAGTGATGTATTGATTTCACTACCTAATCCTACCAAAACACTACCTAGATATTTCCATGAGTAGCTATTTTCCTTACCGTATAGAAACATAAGATAAACATTGATTATTATTCTGTGAAGGTTATGATCTGGGATAAATCTAAACACTTTTTACATAGTGCTAAATTTTTACATGTTAAATGGTAATAATATATTTTTCACTACCAGGTTTAGTCAAATAGCTACCTGGAAAAATATAAAGTAGTGATAATCAATACCATGGTCAAAAAGTTAAGCGTGAGGCCTGCTGATTGAGATTTGTTGGTATAGTGTTTTGAAAAATATTGGTATTTGGCTTGAATAGGCAGGGCAGTAAAAGATTAAATGCAATTCATCTAAGATTTGGTTCAGTTATGATTGCTTAGTCTTATTTTGAATAATATATTTCTAAGTTTGCTGTTTTTTATCATTAAAAATTGTTTTTTCTTAAAGTCCACAGATGAGGTGTGTCAAAATGCTAGTAAACTGAATTAATTGTAAATGATTTGAATTTGTTGTGTGCAAAAGTAATGTTATCAATTAGTGGATGGAAAATACCTCTACTAAATGCTCTAATGTAAATGCATTCTGATGAAGGATAATCACAAAATGAGCAGTAAAACCTGTCTGAATGAAGAATTCTAATGAACAGCTGTATACTTGAATGCACTGCATTTTGCATTGACTCCCATTTAATAATCGAATATTGAATGGTTTTTAGTACACTCCTTTCTGTAGTGATCAGCTTTATACATTGAACACTTTTTGTGTGTCCATAGCTGTTCACTATATGCTGGTATTACTGTATAAATTATTTGTTCATTTCAGTTTGATCAGGGAGATCATGGTGATGGGAAAGTGGATCCAGATGATTTTTGGTCCACTGTTCACGAGAATTTAGTGTCAGCTTCTGTTGTTTCACATCCAGAAATAAAGAAGATGAATGCTTATCGTGTCGCACCATTCATTCCACCTGCATTGAGGGGAACATCTATTTTAAACACTGAATTCCAAAAACAGTCCAGGATATGTAGACCCGACGAACTTGTCGAAGGTAAGATGGAAACATGTAGCCGTTAGCACATAAATGTCATATCAGGCAATATGTCTCTGTTTTTTAGTAGACCTTGAAAGTATAATTATAATAGGCCAACTCCTATAAGGATAATCATTTCCTACAACTATCTTAAAGAATCAGATTGTAGATTGCTCATACCTAGTAACTGCTTAATTGGCCCAGATTTGTCAATGAACAAATCCAAATCGTAATTATATAATTATGTAAGTAGTAACAATTTCATTCACTTAATGAATTCTGGACGCACCCTGGTCTTAAATCTTTGTTTTATAAATAAATTTTAAAATTCTTGACATTCTTGACACAATTTCCATAATTATCCCACCGAACAAAGTTCCCGGCGGATATCAGAAACGCGTCTGTCTGTCCATCCCTACATCTGTTGTATGACCTCTGCTATTTATAGAAACATTTTTTGTTTGTTGCCATTTGCTACTTCTCGGAGTTGGTGTTTTATACTTGATGTACAGTACGCATCCTTTTATCAGTTAGACTACACTCTCGTTGAAGTAGTTTTGCGATTAACTTGTCTTATTTGCAGTATCATATTGCGTAATCAACTCAAGCCATTCATATCTTATTTGTAAATGTATTCCTCTCCAAATTTAAACATTGCATTTTCAATGATTTAGGTAAACCCAGCGAAGCGGAGCTGTCTTCTTTAATAGCTTCTGGCGAAGTCAACATTGATGAGCTGGATGACTTGCACCACAATCAGCTCATTGCAATATGCACTAAAGTTGGCATTGTTCACACTGTAAATGATTCAATGGTATGTGCATTTCCTTATATAACTACAAGTACATGACGTGACAATGGACAGCGTTTGATAAACGTTGTTTGAAAATGTACCTAAACTAGTACTTTAAATGGTCAAATTAATGTTAAATATAGACAATGATTGTAAACTTATAAAATTTGATCTAAATCTAAACCCTAGCATAATCATTTGTGTCAATCAATGAACTATGATCTCTATTCCAACAATTAATTATCATTATGTAACACCCTGAAGTTTTATCTATAAGTACAAGTTTCCATACAAGTTTTGTATTCCCACTCAAATATCCCTTGATATGGTTCTCATGGAAAACACAATGGTGAAACCTCACTTTTCATTGGATAAACTAGTTGAGTTATTTATGTGTCAATTATCCAGATGCGAGTAGATAGTTTCCAGTTTCACCACCAGGTGGCTGACTCGGGTCAATTAACATGGCAGGTATATAAGAAAGTTCCCTTAAACTTGAATGTTATTAATTTTATTGGATCAATCTTCATATAATCCTTATGTGTCTTATACTTATACAAATGAAAATATGTCCAGTAAAGAAAATATTATCTGTCCACTGAAAGAAAAGATATTTCACTTTTTATGATTTTATAACATGGGGTCTATGGGGAATCTCCCCGACCTAGAAGTCACATATTTTCAACAAAATTAATTTTTCAAATTTGATAAATACTTTTTTAAATTCTTTTTAAAACCATATTTCTAGATGTAATTTTACATCTACATTTCAAATATGATATAACTTTGACTTAATTTTCAATTTTAAATGATGTAAATCCTGATTATTTCTACTCGCACCTGGGTTATTGATCACTCACTCTGGTAAGATATTGAATAATTCAAGTTCTTTTACACAATATTTCCTGAGAGAATAATTTTTTATTTTTGACGTTTCAACAGTCATGCAACCAGCTTTATCAAGATTACATTCAAAACAGAATTACACAGTTATATTATTTCTGAAGTTGTAATTGAACAATAGAAAACCCTGGTAACAATGAATTATATAATAAACAATAACAATAAACAACAACAACACAACAATGAACTATAAAATTGTCCTTTAAAAGCAAAAGGTGTTAATAAATGGTGTACTTTGTTATTCTAGATTAATTTAAGACGCAAGATATTTGGTTTCTACAAACAGATATATGAGGGCCTGTCATCCTGCCATAGTTTTGGGAAAATCCAAGGTCGGTCTGGAGGTCGTCTTGTATTTGTCTGCCCTCACTCAGTAAGTATGATATTTCGTCGCATGAGAATAACTTTGTACTATCTCACATTTGTACGGAACTGAGAAATCAAGGTTTGAAAGTTTATTGCTACAGTGACACAATCCGAATGACACCCGCTCACATAATGTTGCATAACTTTTTCGTCCACAATAAATCAGACTTTTTGTTATGGCACATTGACACTATAAGCATCCATGATGCAACTCCACAAGAAGTTTCAGATGAATAGCTCAGTTGAATTTAGATGTATGAGCGTTACAGGATGTGTAGTCTATTCCTTTACAGGCACACCTGGATTTTACACAAATAATGGCACCTAAATTTTGTAACATAATTTAGGACAAAATGATTTACTTTGCACTTTTCACTGAACATCTGAACAAAATGTCATTACCTTAATCGAGGTTTCATCACTTTAATGAATCTAAAATGAATTATGGTAATGTTTTTACAGTATAACCTCACAGATAGCTTTTTACAAGTGGGTAAAGTAATCGTCTTTCTTTGCCATAATGATATAAATAACCATATTCGGATTCAAATTGGGATTCGAACAGAGTTGGCGAATCATAATATGAGCTCATATTTGTATTGGTATTGAGATTCGAAAACATTTGATACAGAAAAATCGTCTTTCTTTGCCATAATGATATAAATAACCATATTAGGATTCATATTGGGATTCAAATTGGGATTCGAACAGAGTTGGCGAATCCTAATATGAGCTCATATTTTTATTGGTATTGACATTCGACCACATTTGCTGCAGAGAAACCAACATTTTTCGCTTTAATGATATAAATAACCATATTTGGATTCATATTGGGATTCATATTTGTATTGGTATTGAGATTCAAGCTCACCAGCAACTAGTGAGTTTGAATCCCAATACCAATACCAATATGCAGCCAACTTTACCCACTTGCTTTTTATAGGAATGAATTTAAACGTGTGTAATTGATACTGGTGTTATATCATGTTTACAAGACGGAAGTATCTTACCCTATGTTATCCCATGTAATTTCAGGTTGTGTATGTGTCGAAGATGATTGTGAGGGCAGAGTCTGCTCGGGACCATGCAGATTGCTACATGTCATTGCGACATATGCCTCCAGTATATGTATCCGATATTCCTTGCACCATTCGATCCCACATGGAGATACGATTTCCCAAAAAGTGTGAAGAAATCTTTGGTTCTTTGCGAGGATGCTTTGAGAGACCAAACAGCACTGGGGACCCCCAAATCTTCACCGCTAATGAACTGCTACCTCCGAATTTCTTAGAGGAAAACCCCCACCTCACCATATCTGATGATAAATTTGTTCACCCATACACGGGAAAAAGAAATCGATACCTTGTAGGCGATCGATTTCACAATGTTGCCTCGCCACATACGCACAACACCTGCAGATACCATGACATCAATAACTGTTCATCGCTGCATTCTTATGCAACCTCCTTGGCAGAGGTTGACAATGCCAAAACCAAAGATAAACGGTTGTCTAGTGCATGTTCCCAAAATCCAAACCACCATGCATTTTACAACATGTTAATGGACTATGACAACAACATGGGTATTGTTTGCAAACAAAAGAAAGAAATTCAAAAAAGATATCCAGACCATCTAATAGTTAGAGATAGATTTTTGAGATTTGTGCTGTCTGATAAGATTTGTTAATGCTACATATATATATGTAGTGAAGCATTGTGGGATCCACGGCAAGTATTTTCCTTTGGAATACTGGCTCACCAAAGCGTTAGATAAAGTGAGACTCTGATAAATCAGAATGGTAGTGAAGTGTTATACAGCATCCACTATATCTGGAGCTCTGCATGTTTTATCCCATGCTTCCATAATATTACCAAATCACATCTCTAACTGTTTCAAGTGCTTTGAAAATACATAACACTGTCTGGTCTCAGGCACACATAAATGTACATAAATGTATACATCTTGTAAATAGGTTTTGCATTCGAAAATATTAGTATGTTTGTTATAAATCCCTATAAATGATATGTATCTCCTAATTATCGTTGAGCACTGATAACACTGTCTGGTACATGTACATAAAGTTATACAACTTACAAACCTCTTGTAAGATGTATATCATTAGTACTGATATTGCTCCGTTAGAACACCATAGGTCATATTATCTATACTTTTGACAGTTATCCAAACTATTTCTAGTATACTGTCGTTCTCTACATTTATTAAATAAACTGAAATATACTCAAATTTAATTTTGTTTGTCTATTCATTGCTATTATTTGAACATGATTGTGTACTTATATAATTATGTATGGTCATATTATTTTCGCTTCTTTCTTCATTTTATTTGTCTATTCATTGTTATTGTTGGAACATGTGAATTGTCATATTTTCGGTGGTGTACCTTCCTTCACTTTTGAGGGCCAATATGTATACTTATGAAAATTACAATATATAAACCATCCGAATTCCGGTGAGAGCGTTAAGTAAGCAAATGCTACCTCATTATGTGCAAGATGGTCGCTAATTTCGCAAATTCCCTGTAGTAAAACTTTTCATCGATTGGTCAAAATGGTTCGATTTTTACTTTTTCAGGCAAATATTATGTCACATGAAACAGTCACTTCTCCTCCGATAAAATTTACATTTGACAATGGTTCCATAATTTAAGACTAAGTTCCGCCATTGATCATTGACAGCAGTGTGTATCCATGTTTCCAGTCCGGGGGGGGGGTGCCATCGAGGCTTATCGTAATAAAAAGAGCATTTTAAAGCTTTTTTCTTCCTATACCTCATTGTTTTATTGTAATTGGTTATGATGGGCCATCGCACCCCTCCCCCTGGCTACGCCTATGGACAGGCATTGTAAAAACTAGAAATACTCGCACTCCCAGGCCAAGACCACCCAAATGAATATGTTCATTAAGATTGCAACTGGAAATGTTGTTTGCACGTTGAAATTTCACATCTCACAATAAAAAAGAATCTACAAATCCATCATTAAGATGAAAGAAGCATGTTAACACGTCTCAGAAAGTCGACGCCCAAATTACGCGAAATTACATAAGCGGGGTACAATTTAGGGAGAACAAATAATAGTTTATTTCTGGATATCCATGTTTCACCGATGAAAGTGTTTGATAGTATTACGCGAGTTCATATCTTCTTAATCTTTGAATAAATTAATCGTGATCACAAGTTCCGAACTACCTGTATTCAGTGGCGGATACATGTAAAGTCTTGAATAAACAATCCTAATGTTATGTGAGTAACAGCTAGAATCCCTTTTAGAATTGATGATTTGTAAGTACTAGCCACAGATAACCTGATGCCTGGAGGCACCAATATACAGATATACACTCAATAATGAGACACAAATAATAACAAAGAAAATTAAGCGAATTAGTATATATTAGAAATGCCATTTTATAATTATAAATCGTCAGTTTTGCTAGTTAATACATGATATGCTCCAATGTTAAATGTTGTTTAGATCACAACGATAGCCCTTTAATCATTAACAAAATATTTTAGTCATTAAACTGTATTACGTTTTTTTAATCCCGCAAATGGACATCCCCTAACACCTTATTAATTAAATGTAAAATCCTATTTGGTCTTATAGCTTTTTTAGCACAATTGTAAACAACAAAAGGCTGAAGACGGAGATACAAATGTCATCGATTTTAGATGGATTTGTAGTTTTGACCAGGTCAGAGTGCACTCACCTGCTTTCAGTAAAGGGTTACATCAAAATTGACCAGGCAATTGTTGGTAACACTTTTATTTTTTGATAGAGACAATGACCATTGTTAGAATCTCATATTATTACACACATTTCAAAAGTAGAAACTAATTTGATTTCCAGTGAATAATTTGGATTCAGATGTCATCTTGAAAATAGAATAGGCCTAAATGGATTCCCCTCACAAAGGATATCAAAGACTAGAGATGAGTTTAAAATAATTAACCTTTGTCAGTCCAAGTTTTTGAAGAGTTACATTTTGAAAATGATTAAGCTGATCTCCCTTTTTGTACATGTTCACACTGACTTCATTTCAACTAACACCTATGATATATGGATGAATCAAAGTTTGAATAAGTTTACATTTCACTGTAACTCCAACTGGCTCTGTATTGGCCATGTTAATTAATATTCATTATCTTGAACAGTATTTAATTTATTCTTAATGAGCAGATATAACTTTGGGGAGAGAGTGCACATGAAACAGCATCTCATTAACAACATATGATATGATGAAACAAAGCATGGGGGCTACATACAACTCTCCCACTTCAAAAGAGAGAGTTCTTAATAAAAAATAAACAAAGTAATGAAAGTAATTAAAACTATATTTCAGCATGTTCATAATAAAATATTTAAAATTCTTGTGCCAATCTTAAAGACATGTTATGTTTCACATTGTCAGATTGCAACAATCCAGATTGCAGATTGCACGCATTGCAACAATCTGCACTTTGCAGTATTGCTAACATTGTTGCCATTCTGAGAGGATGTATAATACAGATTGTACAATCCAGATTGCAGATTGCAACAATGTTATATTTCACATTGTCAGATTACAACAATCCAGATTGTAGATTGTAACAATGTTAACTTTCACATTGTTAGATTGCAACAATCCAGATTGCACATTGTTTTTGGGTACCTACTGGGTACCTACTGGCCATTGGGCTCAATAGAGTAGAAGCATGTGTTCACTGATATTAACTAGAGTCGGTTTTCATAATGGCAGTATACAATAATTTTTCACGCTTTAATAGCATATTGTGTCACGCAAAAATAAGTTTATTTCTTACATTTCAGGTGTACTAGAAAGAATCCACCTTATTTTGTTTGATCACCCACAGTCAGACCAGTGGAAGAAAGTCCAAAAGGCAAGATTCAACATGTACCATCAATCTGCTGTTTCCATGTGGTGTAAAATAGTATGTATATAAAGGCCTATATATCTTATTATTGACTCTTTTGAAAAGTTTTATGTAATGGAATGATATACGTTCAATAAGTATTGCTAATTTTGCTATTACGTTTTTTTTTTTTATTTCTCTTCATGAGACTTTCACACCCTAAAAAACATATAGAGAAACCTGTATATCTGTACAACTGTCTAATCCAAACACCTCACAATCTGAAAATATCACATTTTTCTTCCATAATTGTTTAACTATTTTCGATTTAACACTGAACTGTTATGATATCCAAGCTTTTGAAACATGGACATTGAATGGTATCAATCTTAATTGGTCTTTCTAGCATGATGAATTAATTTGAATCAGACTTTCAAATTACTGGAATGCTATAAAGTTAGAACTATAAACATTTCTTGACAATGTGTTCACATTTCTTCAAAATGCGACATATTGCATATGCCAAAAACTTGAAATGTGAACACCTCCTAATATGAAAGGTTTTAGCTGTTCCCAATGGTGTTTGGTTTAGACATGTTTTACTGTATATCTGACTTCATTCTGTTACAATTTCCTCACAAACAACAAGGTTTTGACAAAAGTATGGTTATTATGGTCATGGGTATGCGTCCCAAATGTTCTAATGTCACTTTTTGATGACATTTTTGAGTGATCATAATTGACATTTGTGTTTCTCTGTACATCTCCTAGTTGTGAATTGATCAAAAGAATGATGTGTTGCTTGTCAATACTATTATTTCCTATTAAGTTAATGTGGAGAACAAAATTATTTGATTCATCAATAATATGGTCCAGTTTCCCATTAACGAATTGTTTCTCCATTGTCAGTTGAATGCATGCTGAATCCTTAGTTTCACCAGTTATTCCATATTCAGAGAGACACATTTCATTGATAATTTGTACGTAAGCTATTTCCATCTGGCTATTTCCTATCATGTTTAATTTTGTCATTCCTATGATATTTTCGCAGCAAATTGGTCGCCTTCACTTGGAGCTGGTGCTTTAACTTTGCTAATACAAAACCACCGAAATAGCAAACTTTCCCTCGGGCAGCTATAATCTGATTGTTTGTTAATGGTTGTGCTTCTCTGAACTGAAAACATAAAAAGAAGTCAAGTTATATTACAGCCAAATTATTATATCAATATTTCATAAGTTTATAAAATGATTAATATTAGGTACATGTATACTGTTTTAAAACCATGTATTATGGATACACCACACTCATATTTTAAACTCTACCAGTAACATAACTAGAAAAACAGCAACTCCATGAAGTAGCAAATCCCACCGAACAAAACATATTTTGATTATTAATGGCCATCTAGAAAATTCCTCACTGGTCTTCAATTCCTCAACTGTAAACCTTGAAAGTACTGTTGACTTCGACCTGCGGTCTCAGTCAACAGTACTTTCAAGGTTTACAGAATCGGTATACAGTTTTACCAGTTGACCGAAAAGAGAGGTCTACAATTGTATATTGTAACATTCAAATTTATGCAGTAATATTCTTTTTAGGTGCACTGACTTTGGATTCTAATTATGCAAATAATGTTGACAATGGAATATGGATTAATGCCATCATATATGTTGTCGATCGTAAAGTTACAAAAAATGATACAAACTTTCTAGAAATACTATTGGCGATATCTTAACCTTTTAAAATTTGTGACTATTTATTAAATTCTATATATTGTTCTATATACTTTAAAATCTGGTTGCCTGCTAATAATACCCTCTGCTGCATTGTTTATGAGTTTATTAAAAAGGCCTAAACATTTATTTATCCCTCTTCAGGATGCTGTCCAAAATTTCTTCTTTGAGGAAGTCCACTTGGCAGAGCAACTGTTCAGACAGGGTAAGATTTTTGTTTACATCAACTGAAAATTGTAATATCCTTTGCTATCCTTGAGCATTTTTTCCATGTCAATTTCCTCTCAACATCGAAGGTTTCCATGTTTTATTACTCTCAGACTTTTGACTCAGACAATTTTCCATGTTTTTTCCCTCTCAGATTGGCCAATTTTCATGGTTTATGCTGAAAGCCAAAATTGTCCGCGCTGCACATAGCTACCAAAAGTATTTAGAGTGAACCCCCGGTAATGTGTTATAAAAAGTTCCTACAAGTACTATAAATCCCCCGTTCCATTAATTGACATTTCTGTGTGAGCCAAAAATGGTGTAGTACATACATTACAGTACTTTCAAAATATATTTATACTGTTAATATATTAGTTGTATTTCATTTATACAAAAATGTGATTGCAGGTTATATTGATGTTGGGGTCTTTCATCTGGCGACTGCTGTGGTGTTTCACCGTCACCCCTATCATTACCTAAGTGATATACAACACAGAATCTATCCTGATGTCTTTCAGCGCCTCCTGCAGATCCTGCCAACAGTTTCACAGGTATAAATGAGTGCACTTTATCCAACCAATCTCCAACAGTACTGTATAGTATCGTTTTGACTACAGTATAGTGAAACATGGTATTGTAGAATGTAGGGTACTATAAACGTAAACATAACCATACAGTACTGTGAACATGGCACCATACAGTACTGTGTAAACGTTATGTAACACTACTGTGTGAATACAGTATGGTACAGTACCGTTATCTACTTTTCTAGATATAGTTTTACATTACACGTCAGACACTACTTTTGTTCTTGGTAGAACTGTTCAATTCAGTTCACCATATCGCTACCAGTCCTTTGTATTTTTTGTATAAACTTTGCAAGAATCTGTGATAATGATTACTCAGTTCTACTTTTGAATTTTCGATTGAAATATCACAGTATGAGGAATAAATGTCAGTTACATGTACCACTCTGTAATTAGACTCCAGATTGTTTTTGCCATGTTGCTTATTAGACTCCACATGATAAGCCGTAGTCTATTGTTTTTGCCTCTGTTCACGTCCAGTCCATGTCGAGTCTATCCATCCGTCTGTCCATCCATATGTCTGTCTAAAAAAGAAACAAGGCACAGTGTGAACAGAATGGCACCCTTGAATAGAATACAGTTTTTGGGATGGAACATCCGTGTCCACCCTAACATTTACCCAGATTTTAGGACGTAAAATCCAAAATGGCCACCTTAACGCTTACCCAGAATGCCGAAAAATGAATCATTTCAATGACAGTTCTAATGAGGATGTTTCATATATGTAGAGAAACATCCCTGAAAATTTCAATTGAATCTGACAATTGGTTTTGCTGGAAACCTGTACACAAGCCTTGCCAGACAAGATTTTAGGACGTAAAATCCATAATGGCCACCTTAACGTTTACCCAGAATGCCGAAAAACTAATCAGTTCTACACTTTCATAGGTAGAGAAATATCCTTGAAAATCTCAAATGAATCCCTCAGTTCTAAACTTTCATAGGTAGAAACATCCCTGAAAATTTCAAATGAATCCCTCAAACGGTTTGGCTGGAAACATATGGACAAGATTATTCGGGACGCCTATCCGCCCACCACCCGCCTACTCATCTGCCTGCCCGGCAAACTGATTACAATATAGCACCCAAAGGTGCGGTAAAAATACTCTGTCATCTGGAGTCGGAACTTATTGTTAAATTTCAAACTTCTAGTTATGTTTGTATTCATTGTGTTTTTCTTTTGTAATCTATTCAGAATATATGGTGCGGTGAAGCAGGAGAGAGGTTGTCAAGATGGCTCAAGCACAATCCCAATGGATATAGGATATAAAAAGTGCCTCCAAACAAATAAAGGAAAATCCAAAATGTTCCTTTTTTGGTCATGCATTTGTGGAAAAAAGCATGTCATTTTTATAAAAACCATCAGACACATCGGTAAAACGTTTATGATATCTCTTTATTTAAACTATGAAAAACGCCATATGTACTTGACATTTTTATCATCAACGGATTTAATATAGAAAAAGTCGGAGACTTGTGGCAATTTTGAAATGCTACTCAGATTTCTCATCTATATTGACATAGACTATATATTACATGAAGAGATGTACTACAACAAAATTCCCACAGTTTAACCATTGCTTCAGTTCATAGAAATTCTATGGAATCAAGAAATGCAACACTACATTTTCAGATAACTGAAAATACAGTACTTTGATGGTATATACAATAATTGAGACAAAATGTTATGACTCAGATATCCTTCAATGTCAGAACATACTCCATAGAAATTCTATGACAACATTGCAAATTTTCCGCCAGATATCTCTGAGCATCTGAAAACACATGTACTCCATAGAAATTCTATAGGATATACAATAATTAAGACAAACTTTTGTTGTGCTCTATTCATAGAATTCCTATGTGTAAGTTGTCACTCAATTTCAGAACATACTTCATAGAAATTCTATGGCAACATTGCAAATTTTCCGCCAGATATCTCTGAACATCTGAAAATACATGTACTCCATAGAAATTCTATAGGATATACAATAGTATAACAAACTTTTGTCGTTGCTTTATTCATAGAATTCCTATGTGTCAGATATCACTCGATGTCAGAATATACTTCATAGAAATTCTATGGCAACACTATGGCATATATTTGTACATAATTTATGGTAAATTTGTCCAGCTTGATGGAGCATGCTATTTTTCATATAAACACTCTGAAAACTTCACAAATTACATTTTTATCTTTTATGTTTTTTTTATTCAAAAGGAAATTAATTTCTTCATGCAATGACATCTGTGCAATGAGTCTATCATGCGGATAACCTTAACTTCTGTTTGAAGTCCATTGATGCAAGGAGTAGCAGTTAGTGAGAACGGTGCCATAGTATCATATTCTAAAATGTACCATTTCTTGGCTTACTTTTTAAATGGTATGATATAGTGACATGATAATATATGTTTGCAGCCTAACTCTGAAGGTAGTAATTAGATCTAGATATATTTGGGTTTTTTTTCTCATAAAACAATTATGTTTACTTTTTTTGTCCAGCAGTTTCAAATTTAAAATACAGAAGTATTCCATCTAGGTGGAAAAAACAACATTATTTTTTATTAAAAAAATATTATAAAGACCCAAAACATCCATACCTCATTAATACCTCCCGAGTTATGTGGAAAACATATATAAATCTTATCTTGTCACTACATTGTACCATTTAAAAGTAAAAAGAAATGCTACATTTTAGCTTATGATACTCTGGCACTGTTTTCACTTACTTTTACTCCTTGCATTACTGTAGCATTACTGGACTCCAAACATAAGTTTAGGTTATCCGCATATGATGGACTCATTGCATGAAGTAATTAATTTCCTTTTGAATAAACAAACAGACAAGTATGAGTTCAAAATATAATTTGTGAATTATTCATAGTGTTTATACGAAAAATAGCATGCTCCATCAAGCTTGACCAATTTTAGATGACAACCGGTGACAGCATTCATCTTTATGTTTATTTGTGACACTAGTTTAA